TCAGCAACTGCGCACTACATCTGTAAGTGTGCATTACTGGATCCCTGACGCAAACAAGGTCAAGACCAGCCCGATTTCGAGTTCGCAGATTTGGAATATTAGAAAAGCCTAGTTGTGTGAGATGAGAGTTGTGTGGTAGCCGTAGTCTCAATTAAAGCACAAGGGCTCCACACCAGACCGGTATCTCGGTAGCACATCGAGAATGTTCTGTTCCCAAGCGCGTAAACAAATGCGGTAAGTATACACGTCCGTTATAAGAACAAACTCATGGCAACTAGAGGACCTCGATTTTCCCACTGAAATGAGTTTTCTTGAATACCTAATCCGAACTATGGATAGCATTCTCTCATTCAAGAACACCACTCCTTTCCCGGTTGTCTGCTACGTCCTGATCAGCTTGCGTACAAACAAGAGTTTCTCGTACAATTTCAGTGAACTGCTTCTGTAAATAAGGAGATTAGGCAGGCCATCGAATTTCCGCAGGGAACGTTCTGCATCCACATATTTCCATCCCAGGGTACCACTTGACGACCGGTACGATGCTTAAGTCTTCTCCCCTTTGGTACCACTTCGGCTAGAAGAGGTTTTTGAATCCAGGCATGGGAGCTGGGGAAAAGACGAAGACTATTGCTCTCAGCACCGAGGCATTTTGCGGAATTAACGTGGTTCCATGCCAACACGTTAGCATCAGTCGGTTTGGCTGAGCAACAATTAGTTCAGTAGGGAATAACCAAAACCAACACAGAAATCTAGTTAAGAAACTCGATTTGATGGTAAGCGAGCCCGATGACTCACACATAAATTACCAATAAAGGATGATCTTGGTCAACAACACAGTGGCTCCGAACGCGGACAATTCCTCGTGGAATCCGTGGAACAAGTACACGTCAGATGCATCTCACGGGCAGATTTTGATTGGATAAATGAAGCAATATTAACAACAATTCACACTCTGTCATCATGCAGCACGATCCTTCTAGGGGCTATAGTCCAAGCAAAGTAAAACGGTTTTAACTTCCTAAATACACTCAATTTGGTTTTCACGGGAGACTCCACCGAATCCTTGGTTTCTGAATGTGCTATACAAAGGCTACCCCACGTTTCAGTTTGTACGATACTCGAGACACTGCACTACATTTTCATAAGATAGCTGAAAAACCACAGTATGTAGTCCTATATCTCGAATATCGTATCTGCTAAAACCTGAGGCGGCCGTTATGCAGCCCATTCTGTTGAAGAATATCTTATGCGAGAGATTCAGCTAAGTCTCCTGTGGGAACCAAATTGATGTGCAAATGAGTGCATTTATCGGAATTCGGAGTAATTTGAGTTGAAGTAGAACCTAAGGTTAACAGAACTTCCGAGAATGCGCTTAGGGGATGCTGTCTCTCAAGGCCGTGCGCGCACCATACTGTTGCGAAAAGGCCGAACACTGGCTAAATCACAAGTCCAAATGCAGGCAGTGACTATAGTTCCAGTCTCACTGGATACGATTATACGGAAACTTCGGCCTACCTCCACTTTCTCATGCTCATCCAATTGGCTAACCCCATCTACTATACGGCTCAACGGAATGTCCAGTAGACTCCGGTCAGACAAATAATGTCTCTTCTCAGCCAGTTTTTTGCTTTCCGCTTACGACACGTTATGTATCGGTATCTCGTTTTCCTGGTGCCAGCAGGTTCTCTCGTGCGTGATATGTGAGGTGCCGTAGACTTGGCTGTCTCATATCTCACAATGCTTGAGTGGCATTTTCTTAGATGTTAAAGTTGCATATCAGTTCAGATTTCACAGGAGATTGGCCTGAATCGCCTGTTTACAATATTCTTCAACTGAACGTGTTGATCAGCAAACACTTCACGTTTAAGTTGATACGATATTCGAAATACCGCAGTCTATTTTCATAGAACAAACTACTCACATGTCGCTGAAAGCCTCGACAGCTCATGACCGGTTTCGCCAATCTCAGGGCTAATCAGGTTGGCACAGTCCCCGAGTTTCCGTCAGCATTATGTTTTTCTAGAACCCCAGTTACAAGAAATTCGGTAGATGCACCCATCTGCCTATCAACGCGTGACTCAACTGAAGCCCTCGACTAGGAGTTTCTTTTCTTTCTCAGTTGACACGAGTAGTGTCTTTAGATCTTTCCGAATACTTTATGAAATATGTGATGTCCTTTACCTCTGGAAGCTCTAATTATACAGCAAAACAAACGATTTCACCCACATATAATGCGTGACATATTCCTTCTGTTTACACAATCCACAAGCGGGATCGCTTGTCCGGGATATAGAAGTTTCGGAAGCTACTGTCTGATAATGACCAAGCCTCGAAACACTCTCAGTAAGCTGACCACGTGTAATAATATAAACAATTTCTTAGTTTAGTCGATATTTCAACGATACATTTACCAAAAACTTTACAGTGTTCTCGTCCGTGGCGAAAAAATGGGATAACAAAATTTGCAAAATCCCTCAAGAGGATGGAAATTCGTACAGTCTACTTTGAAATCTTCCGAGTAGATGTATCTAAAAAAACATAGGCTAAAAAAGCTAGCAGTCACATCAGTCCGTTTGTCAATTTGAAAAAACTAGACGAAATGATGTCACGTTGGTTTCCTGCAACGGTCCTTGATTGGCCCTTCCCTGGAAGCTTCCTCCAAACCATTAGACTGCGCATCACCTGTCATCTTTAGATTGAAATTTGTTTCTGCTTTGACCGTCATGAGAAAGTCCAAATACTTTCGACAGACACTCTCATTTGCACACTAGTTTGGTTAACATGGAAGGCTCACCGGAATCCAGCTGATTCTGTCATCTGTGATGCTCTTTTTCAACTGAGTGTACTGCTCAAGACCACCCCATGTTTCAGTTGTACACAACGTCGTTATAGACGTGACACATCAAACATAGTGTTACTGGGAACTCGTCAAAAATCCACAACCGGTTTTGTCCGTCTTCGAGCTTATCAGGCAGATGCACTCTCCGGCGTTTCATCAAACTTTCTTTCTCCCTGAACCCAAACCGTAAACAGTTCGTAAACTACGCTCATTCGCATGCTGACTTGGTTTCAAGGGGTGACTCATTCGAAGCGCAGCTGTAACTGTTCTCTGTAATATTCCTTTACTGAATGTGCCGCGAAAAGACTGCCTCCAGTTTCGCTTGGTACGATAGTCGAGATGTCGAGATGTTGAAGGTAGCTACTCATTAGGTTGCTGAAAACATGAGGTAGCAGCATATCCAATTGAAGGATATCATACACGAGGGATTCAGCTGGGATTCACCGGAGACTCGCGTGAAGACAAACTAGTGTAACGGTGATACTATTGATGGAAAGGCATGCGAGTAGTATGTTTTGTTCTCGTAAATTCGCTTTGCGTCTCCTGAAAAGGGAAATCTGTTGCGGAATTTGTGGAGTCGCTTTGTAGTATTTGCTTGGATCAGAGCAATCAATGATTGGAGTCAACTAATATCCAGGAATGTTCAAGAAAACGCGTTCAGGAGGAGATGGATGTCCAGTTTTTGTAAATAAGATGCAAATGAGTTTGCTTACCTGTCCAATAGTCTGTAACTGGTCAGTTGGAATTTTCCAATAAATTGCTCCACAGCGAAGGCCTTTTTTCCTTTCACTGGTAAGTGAACTTTGGTATTTCACTGAATGCTTTCTTGCTTTTTATTATGTATGGAGTCGAGGAATATTTAATCGAATTAGTTTGAAGTCATCCAGGAAATCTCAGAAAATTTGGTTCCGGTAGTGTGTAGGGAACAGACGACTTGCGGACATTCCTTTTATTGAGAGAACGGATGTTGACAATGGCAATGATGACGAAGAAAGCGCAGAAACCCAAGCATTAAGACTTGAGTGTCTCCAAAACCACCAATCGTTTACTCTGTTTGTATGCACCTCTAACATGTAGTTGTGAACTCTGCCCTTGAAAAGCCTTGACTAAGAATTCAAACACTCTTCTCCAGGTTTCAGCATCAGGATCCTCCAAAAAGTTGCAAACATATTAGAGGGGGCGCACCTTATCCTAACAAACCGTGATTTACAGACCAGTGGCAAGCTGCTGTGCGCAAACTGTCTCTTTGAAGCATAAGTTACGTAATTCTATCCAAACCCATTAGGTTCTTTGGGCTTTAAAAGGGGATGACTTAGAGTTGTCGGTCCGTAACAGGACAGATCGCTTGGAAGCATGCCCTTTAGCCAGGCTCCCCTCTAGTCTCTTCCCCGAGTTTTTCCCAGGAACCAAGGAACCTGGAAAAATCATTCACCAGTTACTAAAGGAAATTCTAGTCAAAACCTCATTTGGAAAGGAACAAAGAAATTCGCACTCTTGAGCACCGCGACCTGTCATTAGCTATTTGTGTCCTTCTGTGACTATCGTTAAGTGGAAGAAACTAAGCGATCAATAAAAGTGTGATCTATTTTGGAGGATATATAATCGCGTTACCGGTGTGAAAATGAAACACTGACAAGATTCGGAAATCGCCAGTCTGGGCATCTTGCCCATTCTGACCTTATCTCCAATCATTTGTTTCTTACTTGCTCTGTTTAGCACTTAAATATGACGTACCAATGCTGTTTGAGAAGTGATTGCTAAGAAACAAATCTGTAGTACAGCATCAGGAGGTATTGGCAACATGACTAGACCTTTCGTTGTGATCAACGAAGACCAATTCAGCGGCAAAACTATTCGACGGTGGTAGTATTGTACGGACACAGAAGATTTCTTACACACTGAGATGTTCAGTTGGATGTCTCATAACAGTGCGTAACATGTGGATGTGCACATTTCCGCAGTTAGTTAGTTCCATATTTTGGCTTATGTACGGTGTCCTCAAAAGCTTGGAATAAAGTAACAGACTTGCGTCCTAATCAGGAAAGAATGCCTGAAACTTCAAGAGAGGCGCAACGAACAATGTGAGTTTGGATGACACTGGTTGCTGACAACATCACAACGATTCAACCTTTGGGAATCAGTGAACTATCGACCCAAATACACGCGGTAGCTGATCGAGGACCAACTGGTAGACGACCTACTTTAAAATTTAGCCGGATGTTCACAACTCTATGTTCTACCTGAGACCAAATTGCACGAAATTAGCAAAATACACTCATTTGCAAACTAATTTGGTTTTGCAGGAGACTCACCCGGAACCCGGCTGAATCTCTAAAGTTTGATGTTTCCAGGAAACCGAATGTGCTGCACCAGGCCGCCTCAGATTTCAGTCCCTACGATATTCGAGGTTTTGCGATACATATATCTTTTTCGTTTCAAGTAGAACATAAGATTGACGGAAAATCGGGTACTGCGCCTACCTGGTGAGCCCCAAGAAGGGCGCAACCGGTCGTGTGCTGTCGAGGAGTTTTCAGTAACCTCATGAGTAGCGCATTACAAAAAGCAAACGATATACTTTGAAATTTAGCCGGGTGTTCCCACTAATGACTAGCTGGTGGGTCGCAACAAAGCTCAAAGACCTTCTTGTGACTGGACCAGAGAGGATCCAAACGCATCTTCACCACAGTGGAATGTAAGCACCATTAAACTGCCTTTATTGAATTCGGTCCTCAAATGAGACTCTTGAATCTGTCGAAGAACTGAGGGAAAATGAAGTCAGTCAGGCGAAGGTGACGATTTGGTAATTGCCAGTGGATGCATTTCAAGGTGAGGTAGGCAGCAACCATCCCTTGGAAAACACACCTTGGGACCAGTAGGTCCTTCAGTTTGTATATACTTGATATTAACTATCGTTGGTTCGAGGTGTGCATCACAAACAGTAGAAGACTCCCCCGAAAACTGACTTCTCGTTCTATTCAGGTCTCTCTTAGAGAAGGTGACACACCAAATGAGATCATCGCGATTGGATGTTTGAAATGCTTTCTCCACAGGAAATCGATTGTATTGTTATTTTCATAGGTCGCACAATGTTACGAAACAAAATTGGCCGGTTCTCATCATTAGAAAGTCGCCTCTGATAATATGCCTTTCCAGATCAATTGTGCATTTGCTTGAACGGGAGACTATTGGATGTTTTTGTGAATCTTCAAAAATTCGCACTAAGGCTACACCTCTAAAATAATTTCTCCTACCATTCAGCTTAACATGTAGATGCTGTCTTCAACAAAGTATGGTAACTGTTCAAACCTGTCAGTAGACAAGGTACTAGTTCCAGAACATCGTGTTCCTCACATTATGCGTCCTATCGGCCAGCACCAGACAGGGTGTACGTGAAATGACACTAACTTAGCCGATCTGAACTGTAAGACAATCTCTGTATTGTACATTCAAACAGCAAAACTGTGTATGAGCGCCTAAGTCGAATTCTGAGTGAATTTTACATTGTTACGCAACTGAGGCGGTGCGAGCACATCCGGTTATTCGCCACTGGCTTGTGAAAAAAAGGCTCCACATGGGCACATACTATGGACATCATTTGAGAAATACTCTTTTCGGCAGATGAATCAATGTAAGTAGTCACACTCATTTCAGAAATGCAGCCTGCAGCCAAACACAGCTGGTTTACGAGGTCCACCTGAACCCGACCATACGGCCATGAGCAGATGGAAATTTATTTTCCCGCCTACGACTCATTTACCTCGTAAGCGACGCAACGAAGCGAAGGAGACACTGGTCCCACACAACTCGGTAAGTAGTATCCTAAGGTTTGACCTCTTCTTGAAATCATGCATAAGAAGGCTTCCCTAGTATGACCGTTTGTTCAACCGCACCTCTGAAACCCGGAAGAATTCCATGTGACTTTTGTTTGTTTAACCTTTCATTTAACAGTGACTGTGAGCTGATTTCAAAACAGGTGTAGATGTGGTTCATTCTTCCATTGGTAGCCATTTTCAGAAGCCTTCAGTAGCCATGTTCTGCCTTGCTCTAGCGCCCCAAAGCATGTAACCGTAAACCTTAATAATGTCGCCGATGAACCGCACACATCCTTTGTGTTTCCTCACGATCTTCGGGTCACAGATACATGTGTGATTAATGAGACCGACGTGAAAACAGACAAAACACGTTCGCTAATTTGACGTGCCTTACTCTGTTGTGGTACTGGCCGCTTCCAGTTATTTGTGACTAATTGGTAATTAGCTGGAATCCGGTCCCCCATTACTTATCCTCACAAAAACAAAACAGTGAAACATTAGAGAACAAAATAAATGGGCCGCACAAACTTTTTTCACCTGTGAAGGATTGCGCCTAACAGATGAGACGACGGTGGTGCTCACTCACATCAGTTACACATCATGCAAACTTGTTAAGCTGGGGCTTTACGTGATTATTCTCAGTTTGTGAAAAGTTGACCATGGCAAACCAGTTATTTCAACTTGGAATGAATACCAGTGGAACTGACCTAATTCACTCAAGTACATGAAACGGTCTCTTCAATAGTTATCTAGTCTTTAAGAATGTGAACAGGTTGCAAATCAGTGTATTTGTCGAAATCAGTCCAATTTGGGTTCAAGTAGAACATAAGGTTGACGGAAAATCGGGGACTTCGCCTACCTGATGAGGCCCATGAAGGGCAAAACCGATCGTGAGCTGTTGAAAAGTTTTCAGCGACCTTGTGAGTAGTATCTTTCATAGAAATATACCGCGATATCTCAAATATCATGCCAACTGAAACATGAGGTAGCCTGTGTGCGGCACATTCAGTTGAAGAACGAGAGATTTAGTGGAGTCTCTCGTGAAAACCAAAATGAATTGCTAATGTGTGTATCCGCGGTTGTCACTTCATCATTCGACGGGTTCTGAACCTAATCGACCTACTCTTGAGTCAATTACAAAAAGTACATTTTAAATTTCTGTACGGCCTGGTCTATTTCAGCCTTGTGGAGACGAGTTTCGAAAGTTTGTTGGTGGTTTTACGCGAAACCTAATGTTAGTACACCTGCTTCTAACAACGTGCTTCCTCCTAACCTCTCTCTTTAGCAACCATATTCGAGACAGTGTCTGGACACCCTACTCTGAATAATCCAGTGACAGGTTACTACACAGGAAAAATATACTAGAGCCCATTGCATTCTCATCCACCTGACAATAAAAACTTACGTTTATACCTGAACAGTTCTGAAAGTAGACCGGTTTTTGAGGCATGTGTTTAGCGTGTCCAATTCGATTCGTGGTTCTTTAGTGTGACTTCCTTACGTGGCAGGCAGTTGGGAATCGGGCCTAAAGAAGCAGAGTTTCATAACTTACAAATACCCTATCGTCATGGAGAATAAAGAGTCCAGTCAGAGAAAACTTCGGCTTGATTTACCATCTGTTTCATAATGAGTTTTGTTTAGTTTGGCAAATACTGGATCGCACTGTTTATGTGGGCTACTATGAGGTTAACAGGAAAAGGGGTCTATTGAATTTCGGTGATTGCTAACGGGTTTCCGGAGAAGCGTAGACGAAAAAAAAGCTTGAATCTCTTTTATTAGGCTTTTGGTTTTAATCCTGTCCGGCACATTTGGCTAGCACTGGAGGTACTAATTATAGCAGCAATAATGAAGGAGTAGGTGGTGGCCGTAGCAGAACAAAGAACTCTCCGAGGAATTTTCTTGAACACAAGGTGATCCCACCCATCGAAGCGATTGCCACATTCCTTGCTATTCATTCCCCCGCAAAAAAGGTCTGATAGGCGGAATAAACGTGAGATTAAGTTAAAAACCTGATTGGGTCCCACAGACAACACTTGTTGATACAGGAGCCGGTGCATTGATCATTGAAAACGTGATAAACGATCGGACCAAACCATGTGATATCAGTATGCGGGCAGACTTTGAGAGAAGTCAGGCCGTTAATATTCATGTGAGTAAGACGAAGGCAACCCGTGGATGAGGTGGACAAACCAATAATTTGAACTGACCAGTTGAGGAGGCTGAACATTTGTACTGACTCCCAGAGTTGTAACATCCGCGAACCCACGTGTCTGGTGAACACGAATAGAATAGTACTGGTTCGAACGGGTGCTTCGAAATATCTCCCTCATCGTCAAAGCCAATATATGAGGAAGTGTATAGTGGAGGAACACTCAACTCATCTCTGGAAATCAGCAGGTGAAAATAGGTTTCGTAAGACGGTGGAGAATGATACCGAAGCGGGCTTTTGAGGCAATTAAAAGAAATGCTTCAAGGAATACGTCCTACAGAAACCAGGAATCTCTATTCATCATGTGTTGCCACCAAAGTGTTTTCGTTAATAGGTTTAAGCTCTTTCTGTTGACATGATCCTGTGACGGCTGGCGGTCAAGATAACACTGCATTTGCATCGATGAACATCAATACAAGTTTGTAATGTACTACTCATAAGGTTGCTGAAAATCCATCGACAGCCCACGACCGGTTTCGCCCTTCTNATGAGGCGGCCTGGTGCAGCACACACAGTTGCCTGAGAACATCATAAACGAGAGATTCAGCTGGGTCCCAGGTGAGTCTCTCGAAAGAACCAAATTAGTTTACAGATGAGTGTATATTCGCTAATCAGTACGAGTTCTTGTGTGTGACTTGTGTCTTTTAGAAATGCTCACTAATATTCAGCAGACTCACTACAAATTCTCGACAGACTCTCAAGAAGTTTCGGTTTACGGGGGCGATTTTGTGATATACACGGAGATCGAGTGAGAACATGCATCGAAAGCTTAGGAAAATGTTTAAGACAATAAGAGAACCCGGGTATAATCCCGGTAACAAAAAACGCTAACTTGCCCTCGCAATCGAACAAGATATTCGCCATCTCAGTGGACGCAAGGAACAGTGGAATTCGAAGTGTTCAATTGCTTTTTTAGACACAGTGCTCTTTGAGGCACGAAAACATCCGCGATTAATGAGAACGCTGTTAGAACAAAGAGAAAATGTTCGCTAATTTAAAGTGACCCCTGCAACAGTCTACCCCGTTACGGTACTCTGCTTCTTTTCATGTGGCTAAAATTCGGTCCTCATTATTTGTCCTCTCGAAAACACAGTAATGTGATGTTTGACAACAAGCTAAATGAGACACACAACATTTTTTCGTCTTACAAGCATTCTGTTTATCCGACGATACAACACTCGTCTCATTCACATTAGTTACTTAGATAAGATAGGACTTTATGCGATGAATATCACTCCGTGAAATTTAAGGGGTGCATTACCCGGTTCAAACAATTCCCATTTACGGAGAACACCAATGGAATGAGTCAAGCGGTTTTCACACACGTGTGTATCTCTATCCGATGAAACCTGAGACAAAGTAGTCGGGATTTTTAAAGTTTATTTATGAATGATTAACTCAGCAGCCCAAACTGATCGGTGGAAAAAAATTATCCCCTTCTGGGAGGTATCTATTTTTCAGGGGTTTTGTGTTTATACACCCAAACACTCACTACAGTTCAACACAGTTCAACACAGTTAAACACATCCACTCAAAGACTGTTTAAAATGACGCCATCAACATCATCATCTTTATCATCATCATCATCATCATCATCATCATCATCATCATCATCATCATCATCATCATCATCATCATCATCATCATCATCATCATCATCATCATCAGGGACATCAACATCATTGTCGACACTGAAGCCGCACGGCCGCACAACCACAACGTTTTTAAGCGATATTTTAGGTCCTAAAGTACAAATAAAATGTTGGATACGATGGAGACCTGGTGTTGACCTGTCGCAAGCATTCTGATATGCCTACACCTACATGCACTCAGTCAAAGAAACTGAAGAGAAACTGACATCGCGAGTGCCACTGATATTGACCAACCGAAATTCCTTGAAATATCCTCAGCCAGGCGCGGGAGCCTTATCCTGGGTTGCGGGCCGCGCCAACGACATCTGACCTCTTCGTAATGTCTTTAGCGCCCTTCTACAAAGTTACACGTTTTCCGCCTCACAGTTTGCGCCATTCTAAATGAGGCAAAAAACATTTGTCTTGGTAGGTGGTTTCACGTCTCGTAGTATGTAGTCGTGCCACCGCAAATGTCACTTTATTACCTGCTGTGAAACCAATTACCCGTTGTCTAATCATGCCGGTACAAATTTGTCATCTCAACGCTTCTGATACGTCAGTAAGTATTGTAAGATCTATCCGCGAAGGTCGAAACCATACATAAATACAGCTCTCTTTGTGGCTTGACGCACGTGACCCCTGAGATCCAGTAAAATTCCGTTTTCACGCCACAAGTGATGCAAAGTGGAGTACGTCATTCGAACCTTTGAGTTCCATGCACCCAGTTCATCTGACACATTTCCATCAGAGCTTATACAACTACCGAAGTATGTAAAATTCTCCACACAGAGGAATAGACGCGTGTAGAATTAGATAATCGATTTTATATGGTATCAGTCGAAGACTTCTCCTCATAGAAAACATACTGTTCGATATCCGGTATGTGTTCAGTAGGCATTCTGTTCAGTGAAAATCTCACTTTATGCAACAAAACCATCCCCGAAATGTTCTTCGCTCCAGTGGGAAGCATTCTTTTGAGAACCTACCTACACGAGGCTTACATCCACTATTTTTCAACTATTATATCGATTTCGTCCGTGCTCTACCTATTGGAAGGCAACTGGTCCACTAAATCAATTGCAATTGCTCTTTCAACAATCACCTTGCCAGCTGTTGTCTCGTTGGCTGTGTTGTATAACATAGATCCCCCAACGTCATATGAGTATTATGAGCTGGCCCTTGATGAATGTGGACTTTATGCATCCCATTATGTATACACAAACTACCATGCTTTGTCCTGCAAAAAAGTGCCGGGATTCACTCACACGGATATAGAGGGTTTTTCACGTTTAACTGGGTTCATAACAGACAACTGTAGACCATAAGGTCAGTCCTCCTATTCTTTGGGTTCGAAAGTTGAACGACACAATTGATTCAGGAGCTGAGGAGTGCATGATGTGTGAATAGACGGGTTCATTTGGGAAGAGAGGAATCCTGACTTCGTGTTGACCGTGCAGAGAAAAGCATAGCCAGCGAAACCAATCCAGGCTCGTTGACCGAATGATGGGTAGCGATCTGCGGTGTGCATGTGGTCCACTGAAGCCAGGAACACTGATGACTGGTGAATCATATTCTTTCCGCTACAGGTCACAGTCCACAAAATCAAACCAAATCAGAGTCTACGATAAGGCTAGTCCTCTCAATGAATTAGAGTTTTGCAAACTCTGAGCCGAGCTTATGCACCAAAACAGATCACACATTTCCTCGTCCGTATTGCTCCACAGACCGTCTTTCTTATTTTCGGTCATTTGTACGTGGAGCCTGAAATTCTTAGTCGGCCTGGACTCGTCTGGTCAGTTGACAGTTTGACCAATGCCGAGTGATAGTGTTTGCGGGTTCTACAGTTGATGTGTAGTTGTGTGTCTGTGCGGCGAAGTTTCATACGAATTATCGCAGTTGTGTGTCCACAACTGACTGGCATAAACGCGAGATTTCATATCAACTTCTCCGGGAGTGCAACAAGTTGTTGATCACCGATTAAGTGCCCCAGTTTCCGATGAGTGTCAAAATAACATTGGATGAG